CTCTCTAAGCCGTAGGGCTGCATGATTATTTGGAAATCAACCCTAAGTTAGTATCCTTCCTTTCTCTGTAATCTTAGCATCCTTGAGTCTACCAAGCACAGCTGTAAGTTGAAATGATTTTGGAGAACAGTGAGCAAAGATCTAATACAATAAAATGGCTTCATTTGGCAAGGAAGGGCATCCCAGGTAATTGACAGAGAATGACCGGAACATGGAAGTAGGAATAGGTCAGACAGATTGAATTGTTAAGTATTTTGAATGCACCAGAGATGAGATTTTTTGAAATCAATATGCCATTTTTCTTGTATCTAATAAGGACTTTTAAGGACACAGGCAAGACGGCGCACTGTGATATTGCTCTTGGGACCTGCTAAAAAAGCAAAGGAAAGTCCTGTATGAAAATGTTCCCTGGAGTTTTTAAAAAAAAAAGACAAACTGCATCTTACTTACTTTTCCTTGGGAACAGAATCTTTATTGCTAAATGTTAAATAGTTGTATATTGGCTGGGCACGGTGGCTCACGCCCATAATCCCAGCACTTTGGGAGGCCAGGGTGAGAGGATTGCCTGAGTTCACAGGTTCAAGACCAGCGTGGGCAACATGGCGAGACCTCATCTCTTCAAGAAATGAAAAAATTAACTGGGCGTGGTGGCATGCGCCTGTAGTTCCAACTACTTGGAAGGCTGAGGCAGAAGGATCGCTGGAGCTCAGCAGGTCAACGCTGGGGTGACCATGAGCCACTGCACTCCAGCCTGGGTGACTGAGTGAGACTCTGACTCAAATAAATAAATAAATAAATAAACAAAAAATAAATAATTGTATATTAAATATCACTGCAGCTAGGCGCAGTGGCTCTTACCTGTAATCCCAGCACTTGGGAGGTTGAGGCAGGAGCATTGCTTGAGCCCAGGAGTTTGAGACCAGCCTGGGCAACATAGTGAGACCTTATCTCCACAAAAAACTAAAAAAACTAGTAGGGTATGGTGATCTGCACCTGTAGTCTCAGCTACTTTGGAGGCTGAAGCAGAAGGATGGCCTGAGCCCAGGAAGTCGAGGCTGCAGTGAACTGTGATCATGCCACTACACTCCAGCCTGGGCAACAAAAGAAACCCTGACTAGAAAAAAAAAAAAATCACTGCAATACATGTGATGCTGATTTTCATTTTGGAACATGTTGCTGTTTTTGTATTGCTGTTTCAAGGTTCCAGTGGGTCTTCCATAACAGTCCTTGGCTGACACAAAGTTCCTGAGCCCACTCCATCCTTGACTCTGCTGTATTCAAACACAGGACTTCTAAAGCGGCAGCCCTGATGGAACTGAAGAAAATAGCCCGAGTGTGGCCCATACTCCTGGTGCATCCAGCCATTTCCTTTTTATTTTCAGTTACAGCCCGTACTTGTTAGCATCCTGCCCTCTGCTTTGTGGGTTCTGGGCTCAGAGAAGAGAAAAATCCTGGTAAGTCCCAGCTAGCTCAGGCCGGTGATTGGGTAAGAGATGTGTCAACCAGTCTGGACAAAAGGGATGAGAAAAATGCTGAGAGCTTCTGGGAAAGTTTTCCCTGTTTTTTGTTTGTTTGTTTGTTTGTTTTGAGTTGGAGTCTCACTCCAGTCACCCAGACTGGAGTGCAGTGGCCGCTCCCGGCCACCGCAGCCTCGACCTGCTGGGCTCCGGCAATCCTTCCGCCTCAGCCTTCCGAGTAGCCAGAATTACAGGCATGCGCTACCACGCCCTGCTGATTTTTGACTTATTGTAAAGATGAGCTCTCGCCATGTTGCCCAGGCGGGTCTCGAACCCGCGGGCTCAGGCAATTCATTCACCTCGGCCTCCCAAGGCGCGCGATTACAGGCTAAGCCACAGAGCCCGGCTTCTCTGTTCTTTCTTTTTTTTTTTTTTTCTGAGTTGGAGTCTCACTCTGTCGCCCAGACTGGAGTGCAGCGGCCGCTCCCGGCCACCGCAGCCTCGACCTGCTGGGCTCCGGCGATCTTTCCGCCTCAGCCTTCCAAGTAGCCAGAACTACAGGCATGTGCTACCACGCCTGGCTGATTTTTTGATTTATTGTAGAGATGAGGTCTCGCTGCCCAGGCGGGTCTTGAACCCGCGGGCTCAGGCAATCCACTCACCTCAGCCTCCCAAGGCGCGGGATTACAGGCTGAGCCATCAAGCCTGTCTCTCCCTGTTCTTAAAAAAAAAAAAAAAAAAAAGGCACTCTGGGAGGAAAGAATTCTCTTTCCCTACTGAATAACGTGCTAGAATGTGACCCTTGAGCTGTGACAGCCATCAAGAATCATGGATGAGTGGCCCTGAGGACAAAGTGACAGTAGAACAGAAGATGGAAAGACAATTTGATGACAATGCTGAGCTTCTGAATGCCATCAGATTTGGAGTTGCCCTGTACCCAGGCTTAAGGGAGGTGTTGTTACATGTCCCTTTGCTTACAGCACTTGAACCAGGATTCTCTATTACTTGCAGCTGAAAAGATCCTGCTAAAATATTATATATCACAGTGTCCTTGGCTTATGTAACATCTACCACTTGGGTAACATACTCTTTTAAACAGCAAATAGGTATGAACACTTCTGGTGCTTTTTTGTTTTTGTTTTTGCTTTTTTTGAGTTGGAGTCTCACTCTGTCGCCCAGGCTGGAGGGCAGAGGCACACTCAACGGCCACCCAGTGTCGACCTGTTGGGCTCCGGCGATCCTTCCACCTCAGCCTTCCGAGTAGCCAGAATTACAGGCGTGCACTACCACGCCCGGCGAATTTTTGGTTTATTGTAGAGACGAGGTCTCGCCAAGTTGCCTGGGCTGGTCTGGAACCTGCGGGCTCAGGCAATCCACTTGCCTCTGCCTTCCAACGTGCTGGGATTACAGGCTGAGCCACTGAACCTGGTCACTTCTGGTGTTCTTTAGGGACTCTAGAAAGGTCAGATAATTCCATTTTTACAACATTGTGGTGATAGAAAGAAGAATCTGGCAATAATAGCTACCATTTACTGTTCACCCACTGCATGTCAAGCACTGTGCCAAATTCTTTAGGTATATTATCTCACTTAATCCTCATAAAATGCCAAGATAGTAATCATCTCCCCCCTGCCTTTTTTACAGATAAAGAAACTGAGGTTTAGGAGGTTTAAATCACTTGCCCAACGTCAAAAACTAGTAAGAGGTAGAAAAGGTATGAACAGCTGTCTTTTTTTTTTTTTTTTTGAGTTGGGGATCTCACTCTGTTTGCCCAGACTGGAATGCAGTGGCACAATCATGGCTCACCACAGCCTGCACTGCCTGGGCTCAGGCAATCCTTCCACTGCAGCCTCTAGAGTAGCTGGAACTACAGGTGTGCGCCACCACACCCAGCTAATTTTTTGATTTATTGTAGAGACAAGGTCTCGCCATGTTGCCCAGGCTGTTCTTGAACCACAGGCTCAGGCAGTCATCTCGCCTCTGCTCCCAAAATGCTGGGATTACAGGTGTGAGCCACTGCACCTGGCTTAATTTTTAAAAAATACTTTGTAGAGATGAGGTCTTACTATGTTGCCCATGCTGGTCTCAAACTTCTGTGCTCAAGCGATCCTCCTGTGTTGACCTCTCAAAGTGGTGGGATTACACGTATGAGTCATCATGCCCAGCCTATGTATGTTTTTCTGTGATTATTCTTCAAACATTATTACTCAGCTAAACATTGCCTCTCCATCAACAAAATCCAGACATGTACATTAATAATTAAATTCAGTCATTTTTGATACTTTGCTAACTTTCACGTTTTTCAACTTTGTCATTTCAAAGGTATATTTGAAGAGTGTATTTGTTAAAATACATTTTATTTAAGCCTGTTAACTTGATTTATGATTTTTAAAAATTTAGGCTGGGCTGGGCATGGTGGCTCAAGCCTGTAATCCCAGCACTTTGAGAGACTGAGGTGAGGGGATTGCCTGAGCCCACAGGTTGGAGACCAGCCTGGGCAACTTGGCGAAACCTCGTCTCTGCAATAAATCAAAAAATTAGCCGGGGATGGTTGTGCACGCTGTAGTTCTGGCTGGAAGGCTGAGGTGGAAGGATCACCTGAGCCCAGTAGGTCAACACTGGGCTGACTGTGAGCTTGCCACTGCACTCCAGCCTGGACAATGGAGTGAGACTCCAACTCAAAAAAAAAAAGGCCGGGCTCGGTGGCTCAGCCTGTAATCCCGTGCCTTTGGGAGGCTGAGGTGAGTGGATTGCCTGAGCCCGCGGGTTTGAGACCCGCCTGGGCAGCGAGACTTCATCTCTACAATAAATCAAAAAAATCAGCTGGGCGTGGTAGCGCATGCCTGTAATTCCAGCTACTTGGAAGGCTGAGACGGAAGGATTGCTGGAGCCCAGCAGGTCGAGGCTGCGGTGGCCGGGAGCAGCCACTGCACTCCAGTCTGGGTGACAGAGTGAGATTCCAACTCAAAAAAAAAAAAAAGATTGAAATCTTCCAAAAAATATTTAGTGATCACTTAAATGAAAAAGAATATGAACCAATGGGCTTTTTCTAGTCTCTCATTTCCATGGTTCTGCTTAGGCCAGTACTAATTCTGGGCAAGTGAGCAGCAGCAGAGGCAAGTGCCCTCCTAAATGTGGGGCTTCCTCAGTCCTGAGGAACTCTCTGACCACATGGCCTGGCTCCTTCTGGCCTGTGTCTTGAAGTTATACTGTCTTTTCTGTCACCATCACCTTTGCATGGATTTAGTGCACTGTCTTGAGCATAAACCTTTCACCCCCACGTAGATTGTGAGAGAAACAGAATGCTTCTATTTTAATTCTCCATGACATCTGGCATGATGATACGCAATAATGAATGCATAACAAATATCTAATATGTGTCTTTTTTCTCACAAAAACACATGTGACATACTAGTATAGCCTAGAAATGACCTTAACATCTTTGATCAGAGAAGACAGAATACAATCAAAAGGCAAAAGCAATAATGAGAGATGGAAGACACAAAATTATTTTTATAGAAAATGAGCTGAATAAACCAATTATCAATGCAAAAAACTTGCTGGCAATGAAGACTTGTTCACGTAGAAAAATAGGTTGCTTTTGTGAGTTGCACATTTTCCTAGAAAAAAAGATCCACAAACAGTCTAACTGACAGAACTCCGAGGATTGTGGCAGTGCGAGAGAAAACTTTTCTGTGACCACTAACAGATGAATCAGATGAGTTGAAAGCAGAGCATATGCGGTTCTTACCAATCATACTGTTTTAAAAAGTGGGAGCTGGCTAGGCATGGTGGCTCACGCCTATAATCCCAGAACTTTGGGAGGCCGAGGTGAGAGGATTGCCTGAGGCCATGGGTTCGAGATCAGCCTGGGAAAGTTGGCGAGACCTCATCTCTACAGTAAATTAAAAAATTAGTCAGGCATGTTGGCGCATGCCTGTAGTTCCGGCTACTTGGAAGGCTGAGGCCAAAGGATCACCTGAGGCCAGCAGGTCGAGGCTGCAGTGGCTGTGAGTGTGCCACTGCACTCCAGCCTGGGTGACAGAGTGAGACTCCAACTCAAAAAATAAAATAAAATAAAAAATAAAAAGTGGAAGCTGAATCATTCATTATCTATCACATTTTTTTTCCCTATGAAACTCATCTTGGCTCCATGACTTGGTCAAGACAGTCACTGACTCAGGACCTTGGTTTTCTCTTCTGCTTGCCCTTCCATCTCCATCAGCCCTGTTAAGCGGCAGCTTAGTTCACACTCTCCCAGACCTTTTTCTAGGCATTTGCATACACATAAACCAACATGGTTTTATAGACTTTGAATATATATTAAACTATATAACATTATTTTGCAATTTTTGCTTTATTTATTAACTATGTTTTAGGTATGTAGAACTGCTAATACTTTACAGCAATAATATTGGTATGTAATTTCTTGATTTAAACTTTAAAAAATATTTTGCCTACAAATAACTCTGATTTTCCATTTTTTCCTTCTAATATTTTCACTTACTTTAACAAAATAACCATTGGCAATAATAAATATCCTCCTCAGTCACATTTTCTCCCTATTTATTCAACTTATTCAGTAATTATCAACCAAGTGAATACATTATCAGCGTATAAGTCTAATATCTTATTATTAAAATAAGATAATCAGTGAGGTCTTCATTAACATGAAATGCACATTTAAAACAAAACCTTAGACTAAGGGTTCAGGACACACCACACAGAGCTCCTCCCAGCCCTCCCAGGCATCTGTCGGCCGACTGCTGAGGTTCAGCTACACTCACTTTTCACTTGCTGTTCGGGAGCTTTGATGTGCGTCACCATTCCAGGCATGTTCACACTGTTCCTATGCAGGTACTTTAGGAAGACGTCTGCATTCCTCCGAGCAAGTGTGCAAGCCTAGGAAACAATGGAGAGCAAGCTGTCATTAGTTTGATATACCAACTAATTTCAAGTACATAGGAAAAGCAACATCATTTGGTTCTAACTTATGTCTTTACCAAAAAACATTCATCTGTCTACCTATGGTTTGGAAAATGTATAGGCTAAATCCTATTTCAATTAAAAAAAAAATTCCTCTCTCAAAGCCCTTGCTCTGAAGAAACCAGCTGCTATGTTATGAGCCACGCTATGGAGAGATCCACAGGGCAGGGGGCTGAGGGCTACTGGCCTACATCCCGAGAGGAGGGGCAGCTTGCCCTGCTGAGCCTTGGAATGATGGAGTACCTGGCTAGCACCTGGATTGCAGCCTTAAGAGACCACAGGAGCCAGCTAAGCTGTGCCTGGATTCCTGTAAGGGACAGATAGTAAATACTTCCAGCTTTGTGGGGGTCACATAGCCTGTGCTTCTCCATCACAAGGACTAAAACCGACACCAGTAGATGAAAGCAGCCACAGATGACATGCAAATGAGTAAAACTTGGCCCCCAGTAAATAGTTTGCTAACCTCAGTTTAAGTCATTGAGTTTTGGGGTAGTTTGTGATATGATGCTATTGTGATGACAGTCAGCTGATATAATGTATTTATGCTGATGCAGTAGGATAAACCAAAGAAGTTGTTTCATTAATATATTTAAAAACAAGGATTTATATTAGAGAAATGGATAAAAATCTAAAAATCAAAGGAGAAAAGAAAAAAAACCCTTAATTATATTTGAATTGGAAATGTTTTGTATATTTCCATCTCACATGTGGAATTAATCGTTTCCTCAAGGAGCCTCTGTCTCCTTCTAGTGGTAAATGGTATTCAGAGACTCCAATCTGGTCACCAGAAATAGTACTATTGGCTTGGTCATTGTTTCCAAGCTTTTTCAGTAGATGGAGCTAGGATATCTTTTTTTAAATTAAGAGAAAAATAAATCATAAGTCTCTGCTGATGAGTCTGAAATTCCAAGTTGTTACACTAGACAGCAAGGTGTAACATTGAGGATTCTAAGGACATCTGAGCAACCTGACTTGAAGAGGCTCCCACAGATAGGACAAGTTGAATATTAAAAGACAATGACTGTGAATGCCTGAAATATACTAAATATATTAAAATACATGATTACTAAAAAAAAAAAAAAAAAGTCACATGAAGAGGGTACTATGACAACAATTCATGTTCCTGAAAATGGTAAATAAAAAGATCAAGCATTTACTCTGCCTTTTCTGGACAAACTGTTTTAGAGTAACCAAACAGCTGAGGAGGGAATAATCCTAGCTAAAGGAGACCAAGGGAATGTATGAATTAGAACATCACCACTTTGCAACTCTAATGAAACAATATCACCACTGGCTATCAAAACCATCAGGTAACAGGCTGGTGGGAAGCACATGAGGAATGAGTTGGACTCACCACATTTGAACCACTGATAAAACTCATATGGCAGAGACAAAAGAGAGAAGCAGACATTATCTGCCTCCTCAGGTAATCCAGTAGGAAGTACAACCCCCACTAGCAAGGTTTTTCTAAGCGCGCGCGTGCACACACACACACACCTGACTCTGACCAAGGCTCTCAATCGAATCAAAATTTGGAAGATTGTGGATGGTGTTAAATGATGCTATAGGATGCAATTACCAAAATCCAGAATAGATGGAATTCCATAGTATAAATAAATAACCCATTTCTTCAATTAATAAATAGTAATGAAAGTGGGGTGCTGTTTAGATTAAAAGTGATTTAGAGGACATATCAGCCAAATCAATATGTGGACCTTGTTTGAATTCTAATTTAAATCATGTATAAAAAGACATTTATAGGACAATCAGAAAAATTTTAACAATGCCGGATTTCGGATAATATATAAAACTTACTTTTAAAATATTAAACAATTTATTAAAAAATTAAAAATTAATTTTAAAGATATGATAATGGTATTATGTTTATATTTTAAAAAGAGAGATTTTAATATTTAGATACAAACTGAAATATTTACAAATAAAATGATGTGATTTCCAAAACTGAAAATAATTCCCTAAAGGTGGTTATGCCCATATATTGATAATCACTGAAGCTAGGTGAGAAGTAAATAGAGGCTCATTATCCATTGTCAAAAATATCCTAGAAACAAACAGTGCAAAATTCTAATAGAACAAAGACATTCAAAAAAGTCTGATTACAAATGCTTCTTGACTTAAAATGAGGCTATGACCCGATAAGCCCATTGTAAATTGAAAACATTGCTGTTGAAATGCATTTAATGCACTTAATCTACTGAACACTGAAGCTTAGCCTAGCTACTTTAAACGTGCTCAGAACATTTACAATAGCCTAAAATTGGGCAAAGTATCTACCACAAAGACTATTTTATAATAAAGTGCTGAATATCTCATGTAATTGACCGAATACTGTGTTGACAGTGAAAAGAAGAATGGCCGTGCAGGTACGGTTTCTACTGAATGTGTATCTCTTTTGCACCAACTTAAAGTCACAGAATCATAAGTAAAACCACCTATTGTAAGTCAGGAACCGTTTGTAATTTTGTTTTGCATTTTCACCTTAATATCTTTCTTAACTGTGTTAACTACACAGTATTCATTTTTCTTTTATACTAAATGGATAGTGGTGTGCTCTGGTTTCTCTTCAGATTGCATTAATCTTTCGCCTTTTAAATGCATTGTGGAGAAAGAGAAGCAAATTATGACTGCAAGTCAAAATCCTAACAGTGGTCAGCATTTAGAAAACTTAATAGCTGTGACTGGTGGGGGGCAGGGCCCTTAGAAAACTGAAACGGGCCGGGCTCGGTGGCTCAGCCTGTAATCCTGCGCCTTTGGGAGGCTGAGGTGAGTGGACTGCCTGAGCCCGCGGGTTCGAAACCCGCCTGGGCAGCGAGACATCATCTCTACAATAAATCAAAAAATCAAAAAATCAGCCGGGCGTGGTAGCGCTTGCCTGTAATTCCGGCTACTTGGAAGACTGAGGCGGAAGGATCACCGGAGTCCAGCAGCTCGAGGCTGCGGTGGCCAGGAGTAGCCACTATACTCCAGTCTGGGCGACAGAGTGAGACTCCAACTCAAAAAAAAAAAAGAAAAGTGAAACGGTACTGTTTGACATAAGTTACAACTACTGACTGTGGAAGTTACAGTAGCTTTCTCACCCTGACTTCTTAAAATAAAGTATCTGAGGCAGAAGCTGAAAATAAGTTACCAGATATAAGAGTTAAAATTTATTCTCCCAGACTAAACAATAACTCTCTGTCAGATGATAGACTTCAGAAACAAAATGAAAATTATTAAATGTAGGAGGAAATGGTGTCACAGTGGTCAGAATGTTGAAGCCATGAAAAAAAAACTAAGCTTCATAAAGTAACAAGAAAAAGTAAACACCATACCTATTTTTAACAGGTCTGATCTGTGATAGCCAATGGAACCTCGGAAATTCATTAAGAGTCCAAGAACGCAACATGGAAGCATTCAGTATGAAATGCTTCTAAACATTTTTAGCATATCTAAAAATTTAATTGCTTCCCAGCACCTCTGTGATTTATGTATGAATAAATATGACAGATAAAAATACAACAGACTGTCTTGGAAAATTACTCATTTAAAAATTCTGAGAGAAAATGCCTAGCCAGGTCTGTATGTGATCCCATTTCCCTTGTAGGAAGCGCTTCCTGAGTAGGTTATTAGCGATGGATCCCATGAGCCACAAGGCGCTCATGTCCTGCATCTCCACACTGTGCTTACACCTCTTTTGAGATACAATCTTTATTCTCAAGAGACTGAATTTCCAAAGGAAGATTATTTTAAGCTACAGGCATTGTGTTTCACCAAATCAATCAACCAAAGAATCACTCCCTCTGTCTCCAGAATCATCTGGTATGGTGACTTTCAAGAGACCCTCGTTTGCACAGATTATTTGTTCTTTCTCTGTGAAAACTAGAAAGACAGAATAATCACACATAAAAAAGATTTTATAGCTTTCTTTCTTCAGCTAAGTTTTTGCTGTTACAACCCTGCTCCATCACCTTCCACACAAGGTGAGAACTGTGAGGTGCAGGGAGAGCTCTAGGAAGCAACAACTGTGTCACCCACACCTGGCAGGCTGGGGCTGTCAAGACGCTCTCCATCATCCTCACGTGAACCCTGGATGTGTGTCCACTGTTCACTGAGGCACAAGTACCCAACAAGCCCACTCGTACCTTCAGGAATGCTTCCTTCTGCTCCAGGTGTTTGCTGATCATCGGGGTGACATGGTCTGTCTCAGAGTTGGGGCCCAACTTGTCAGCTCCACCACACCAGTCTTCTTCTCTTTTGTATTCTTGCTCCAGGCTCTCAAGGACGCTGCAGACCTGTGAGCAGGGGAAAGTTCAAGACTCGGAATTGGCACCTCACATTGTAATTGGCATCTTTGGGAAGCAGCTTAAATCAGGCCTGAGACGAAGGTGCTGGTGGGAGGGTCAAGGACATAAAAAGGAGCTGGGGGCTCTGACTTGAGGGCAAATACAGAGGTTGAAAGCAGGCAGGACTTTCAGAACAAGAACAGAACCAGTGACTGGATGGAGTTGGAGACCATCATACTTAGTGATCTATCACAGAAACAAAGAACTGAATACCACATGTTCTCACTCATAAGTGGGCCCTGAACACTAGTCACATTAGTACAAGGGAGGGATCAGCAGTCACTGGGCACGGCCGGGGGGAGGTGGCCAGTAACATCACAAAGGGTCCTAAACCAGAGGAAGTGAGGGTCAGCTGGAGCACGTAGCCTACTTCTGTAGTTAACCCTTACTTGTACTCCACATCTCTATGTCAAAATAAAATAAAATGAACAAAACCAAAGTTGAATATTCTCTTTCTGACGTGTTTCAGGATATGTTATTTAGATGAGCAGAAAAAAATTCAGTTACTTCCCAAATTATCTAAGGGAAGCAAGAATAATTTTAATTCCAGAATGCATCTTTTCCCTCCCCGACTTGCAACTGACTGGTTCAATAATGACTGGCATGTTAATAACAACTAAGCTGTCCAACAAAATAAAGCTCAAAATAAAAAGCCAGTGGGGAGTCCAAGGAAGAGAACCGCTCCAACACCTGTTCTGAAGTTTTGTAGAAGGCGACGGAGGCGTTGACGAGCTTGAGGCGGTCTTCCATCTTGAGCATGAGCTGCTGCCAATGCGAAGCCACCTTCTCAGCACAGTCTCGGATCATGTCCATGTCATAGTGATTGGCCTGCAGCATGGCTTCCGCCTTCTGCTGCACCTGCAGTGCGCTCTGGTGTGTTTTCTAGAGAAAAGAAGGAAAGAGACAGCTTGTTTAACAGGGTGTCACCCACTGACAGGACAGGAAGCAGGACGTCCACAGTTACTCTCTTCTCCCATGCTTTTGTAGAAACAACCATAGTTAATACTCACTAGGGCACTTCTAAAAGCACAGCAGCCATTTTAGCAAGAAAGTTTTTATGCCCAGCAACAACTAAGTTTATATTTATCTAATGAAGGATGAAATGCATTAAGACCCCCCAGAATGAGTCTCAACTGTAGGGTTCTTCTGAGAAATAGCAGGGAATAAATACCCTTAACAGTCAATATTCTAAAAAAGCTGTTGAAATATTCCAAGTGTATTATTCCTACTGATCCTTCTTATAATAGTTGCTGGAAGCAAATGAGCAAGTAAACAAAAGGTGGCCAGAGTGAATGCTTTTTAGTTTCATTTGAAACTTAAACTTTGGACTCCAGTGAAAAGTTTTCAAGAAGTACTGATTTCAAAAAGAAAAACAAAACAAAAAACACTAATGAAAAGCTAAGGCTGAAACAGTTGAGTTCTCTGGAGGTCCATGCCATATGGTAAATCTATGAAAGTTACATGGCAGGCCGGGATCGGTGGCTCAGCCTGTAATTCCAGCACTTTGGGAGGCCAAGGTGAGTGGACTGCCTGAGGCCATGGGTTCGAGACCCACCCGGGCAACTTGGTGAGACCTCATCCCTACAATAAAAAACTAGCTGGGCATGGTAGCGCACGCCTGTAGTTCCAGCTACTTGGAAGGCTGAGGCAGAAGGATTGCCAGAGGCCAGCGGGTCGAGGCTGCGGTGGCCGGGAGCGTGCCACTGCACTCCAGTCTGGGCGACAGAGTGAGACACCAACTCAAAAAACAAACAAAAAGAAAGTTACATGGCAAATCAAAGAAGACTTTTGTTGATTTATCCTCACCAGAAGGTCCATGAGGGGCTGACAGATCAGTTCTCTCCAGTAAAGAACTAGAACTAGGGGGGAAGAGAAAGGGGTTGGGAGGAGGGGAATAAAGGGGGACCCAAAAAACCCAGAACTTTTTAGAGGGCAGGCCCCTTGTAGTACAGGCTTCCCCCACTAGGTAAGTGTTATGGGAACTCATCAGCATCAGTGTACCAGCCAGCATTGTTGTGAGAGGCTGCGTTCAGCTTCAGTGAACCGTTTCTGGAGATTCTTTCAACACGTTTGCCCATTTCATGATGGGTGATTTACGATCATACCTGCCCACACCGTGCTGAGTGTTCAGCAGTTTTTGACCAAAAACGGCATGAACGCTGTGCCCCACCCTACCTATTCACCAGATCTCACCCTGTACAACATTTTTTTGTTTCCCTAATAAAAAAGTCCTCAGAATGAAATGTTTTGCTGATGTGGAGAGGTGAAACCAAAAACAGCAGAAGCGCTAAAATGCATCAAAATTGATGAGTTCAAAAAATTGTTTTGAGCAGTGGAAAAAGCATCTCAATAGGTGTATTACATCAAACAGAGAGCACTTTGAAGGTGACTGAAGTTTAAATATGTAAGAATAAATATATAATTTTCTATAAGTTTTGAGTTTTTTGGGGCCCCCCTTATATACAGATCTCTACACAGATTAAAAGAAAGTAATAGCAAAATTTTGCATTTCACCACAAAAAGTAAAAATGATCCCATAAAACCTGGTATGCAATACAGTACCATCCTTCATCCAGACACAGTGACTTAATTCTTGCAACTTAATTTCCAGAAATCATTTGGCACAATATACACCATTAAAAGATGTCCAGGGTTTGAGCCTCAGGAAGAAGTGTTAACAGTGTCCACTGGCACTGAGTAGCTGAACATAAATTAATCTAGGGAATAAATTAGTGATGAATTCCAAAGCTTCCTTCTTTGGCTAACATGTATGTAAGTAGAGCAGGAAACAGGTTTTCTGTAATCAAGTGCTCTTTTTCCCTTGACTTTTTCGCGGTTACCAATTAGGACTATTGTCCATATTGCCCCAACCCTCCTCTGCCCCCCCAAAAAACACTGAAAATAATTAGTCACATGCTGAGAGTGAGCTTGAGCGGGCCTGGATATGATCTTCAGTTCTGGTGCAGCACTGACCCTCATCTGGCACAGCACTGACCCTCGCTGTCAAGGTGAACAATGCTGCTTTTAACCAAGGTCTAAGGAGTTTTGCTGTTAGTATTGCTTATTGATTAACATTGAATTCATGATTTGCCCTTGGTCTTGCTGAGCCCCCCAGAGCTCTCTGCTCTGATGAGGTTAGTTACATGGTAGGATTGTGTCTACAAGACCAGCAAGATATAAAACCTCAGTTGAGACTTCAGTTTGGGATCCCTGGTTCAGAGATTTTCTTAACTGGAGAAAGCACACTCTGCCAGGACCCTTACAACAGGAGGGCAGGAGGAACCCCCTGGTCTCCCAGACCCCTGAGACTCTTGCTGTGCAGCCACCTGGGTTGGGTGCATTTCCCCACCTCACTGCAGATGCCATACTGTTTCCATCTCCATAGGTCAACTGTAGATATGTAAGCAATGTCATTTTGGGTCCTGTGAGTCTCCTTTGTCAACAGAGTCCGCCTGGCTCCCATGGGCAGTGTCATATCAGAATTCAGTAGGCTAGAAAGGTCTAAAAGACAGAGACAGGACTGGTGTTCTTACCTCGATGGCATGCTGGAATTGCTCATGCTCTCTCTGGAGCTGTTCGGCTTCTTGTAACGAGCTGGCTGTGATAAGCCCAGCATTTAACATGGACTCTCCATTGCGGATCCAACCCAGCACCTGAAACATTACATGGATGACTTCAAGCAGAGGCCAGGCCAGAGGATCTGGCAGCACACGAGCCTGCAAGGTGGTCTCGTGGCTCCCGGCAGGGACTAAGTGCTGAGGTCTTCATCTTCCTACTGGCAGCGGTCTGATGTCCTTCAATGGTATCTGATCACAGTGCTGCATATTTTTAGCCAGTTCTGTTATTTTTCCGTAGCAAAGGGGAATGAAAAGGCGAAGGTCCAGTGGATTGTTCATATTAGGCCATAGGTCAAAGCAGATTGAGAAACGCCTAATAGATAACCTAGCGACACAAAGACTCCCTCATAATTAAAAAGGGCATTTTTCATCACCTTTCGGTATTGTTAGACTAAAGAATTGACAAGCTAAGGGAAAACACGTTTACTTCATTAGCTTATTTTCCAATTTAACCTGTTAATCAATAATAACCAGAGTGTGAACTACACTGTCCCACATCCCACAATGCTTAGGATCAAACCACGGAATTCTCAACTTCACACACAAACACAAAGAGATGCCAATTCTGACAGTGAAAGCCACAGAGACTGTGGGAGGTCATTCTGGACAGTGATTTGTGGCAGGGCCTTGTAGTAACCTACACAATACCCTTCTTTTTGTTTACTCAGAAAATCCAAACTTTGGAGGAGAGCTGAAATGATAAAAACACTCCTCAGATTCTGTTACGGCTTTGTCACTGTGATGCACAATTCTAGCCAATAAGATCAATGCAGTAGTCTCTGGGGAAGTTTGTAAAATATTTATTTTTGGCCAGGCTCAGTGGCTCAGCCTGTAATCCCACACCTTTGGGAGGCTGAGGTGAGTGGATTGCCTGAGCCCGCGGGTTCGAGACCCGCCTGGGCAGCGAGACCTCATCTGTACAATAAATCAAAAAAATCAGCTGGGTGTGGTAGCACATGTCTGTAATTCTGGCTACTTGGAAGGCTGAGGCAGAAGGATTGCTGGAGCCCAGGAGGTCGAGGCTGTGGTGGCCAGGAGTGGCCACTGCACTCCAGTCTGGGCGACAGAGTGAGACTCCAACTCAAAAAAAAACAAAAAAAAATTTAGTTTTGGATACAGGCACTGCCGCTTTCTCTTTATGCATTTCTTTCCTTGATGCCTGGGATATGGAGGTGATGGTTGGAGCTACAACAGCCATTTGGCAACCAGAAGGAAAAGGCCACCCATCACCAAGATCTCAGCCCAATGTATAAGGGGGCCAACTAAATGAACACCAGTAATCTACTATAACCTGACTTGTCAAAAGTGGGAAAACACTTTTTTAAAACCACTATTTTTAAGCCTCTGTCCCAGGCAAATGCAATTCCTAAGGGATGCATTTCATTTATTCCTTCATTTCTTAAGTGAATTGTATAATATTTCATTTCATTTATATGCAAAAATACCCATACTACTGATGGCACCTGGAAGACCAACAGGTGTTCTTTCGGAGTTCAGGTTTGACAGTCTATCTGCTCCAATGTGAGTGCTCGCTACTTCTGTAGCACATCTTGCTCATGGTCCAGTGGCACCTCAAGACTCCTACAACCAAAGTGCGGCTTGCTTTTTGTGCAGCCACCAGAACATTGTGAGCCTTATTCTCCCTCCACTGAGCCAGTTTCGTCAGTACATTCCCTGCTTATTGGAACTCCCTGTTCATGCATGGAATCCCACCAGCACTGAGCCTAAAGCAATCCCTTCCACCTGCCCCTTTTTTTATGTTGCCATGCCATCAGGATGTGGTATTACAGTATCCTGACAACACAGGAAAATCCCCAGCCACACACAGCCTGTGATTCGATTTAGATCCTAACAGTATTTTGCAGGAAAAAAATTATATAGTTACACAGTCCAGGAAACAATGTGCTCAGGGTTTCCAGCAAGAGACTACCCATAACAAAACAAGCCAATGGTGCTTACTCTCAAGTGCTTTCCTTGCCAGGCAGGGAAGCCTTTTCCGTTATAGAGCAGACACACAGCTGTACAGGTCACTGGTTCCCCTTTCTCACACTACGTATGGCTGGATCAGGTGCATCAGGACAGCTGTGTTCTGATAGGGGATGAACCTCCCCAGTGCTACAGGTCAGATTCCCAGGAGCTTGATCGCTCATTGCGTGTCTACTGCAGCCTCCCCTCAGTGTACAGAGGTTGGCTCACCTGCTTCACTTCTGCCTGCAGGTGGCGCAGCTGCACACACTGTTCCAGGTGCTTCCGATGCTGTTCTGCCGCTAAATCCAATTCCTGCTGTTTTTCATGAAGAAACTCTAGCAGGTCCTGGACCCGAGTTGCCATATCTACGTCTCTATCACAAAGCAGCTCCACGCCTGCAGACAAAGAAGGGAGACTGCAGGATTTGGCTAGCAATTCAACCTCCTCTTCTCAAATGATGAGTATCACAATATCTGCTGTTGTTGGTGACCTGTCCAGCTTGGGCCATCATCACAATGAGCGGAGGCATGTTACACCTGCCTCGAGCATGGACATATGTGTGAAAGGGCGTGCAGATAATTAAACCAAACCCAGTTCCCATCAGTCTATTTCTAGTCCTCCTCCTCCTGTTCAACAGTAGTGAGAGTGCAGCATCCTTTACAAATGAGTGAACTTGATGGTTTGTTTTTGTTGTTATTCCAAATATATGCAGTTTACACTTGCATAAGTATTTGTGTAAAATGAGTAATGTAGCATGCAGGTTGCTGCTAAGTAAGTTTCTAATATTAGTTATATTTCTGGGCCTAGAGTGACATCTGCTGGTAAAATAGAAACAATGAAAAATAAAAATGTGAATTTTTTTTGGAATTTATGTTTCATTCACAAAGTTCATGCTATTCAAAATAATACTGGAAAATATGGGCAGATACTCCAACCATAATGCTAACATGACTGGAGTATGTGGCGGGGGGGGGGGGGGAAAAATGTTTCCTTT